CCGCCCCAAAACAAAAAAAACCCCTCCAAAAAAAAAAAAAAAAAGAACATCTACAGCTTTCTATCTTTATCTGGAAACTCACTTTCTCCCCTTATTTTAAAAAATCATGTGTTCATAAAAATAACTTAGGATGCTTTTTAAAGTTTTAGGAATGTTATTAAATCTGCCTTGTCAATAAGCTAAATTGGACAGACAGTAAATTTTTAAAAAATCCTAAATAAATAAAGAGATGAAAATAAGTATTTCCCTATCCCTGTAGGTGGCATGGTAACTAGCAAAACTCTTGAAAGCCAAGATCTTAAAAAGATACATTTTTTGAGCCAGCTGGTGGCGTGGTGGTTAGTGTGGCTGGATCCCACATGACCAACTGCTTGGTTTGAACCTCAGGCCCAGTGTTTTGAAAAATATGTCAGACGTGTATGTGTGTGTTCCCAGAGTCCCTAAAAGAGAAGAGAGAAGGGGTTATGGTGTGACTATCCCCGATGGAAGGTGATTTCTGACATTCTCCTCCTCTCCCATCTCTCTCTGGAGAGTGCATATACCCTTTGATAAATTAAGACACATATACTCTGGCTTTTTTTTTTTCCATAGGGTGCTTGTGCTCACTGGAGAGAGCCAGAGAGTGACAGAGAGGGACAGTGAGAACTGATCCTCAGGGTCGATGGCCTTGCCACAATACCTTCTCTTCCATTCTCTTCTCTGGATTTTGGGCATGGGCCCAGTGTAACTTTTTAAGCTGAAGGGTGAGGGACTCGAACTGCAGTTGGCTAAGTGGGAGTCCAACGGCTTAACCACCATGCTACCTGCTGGCCCTGTACTCTTCAATTTAATCCATTAATTCAATGTATTGAAATGATTCCAAAGAGATAATCTGCAATACAGACAATTTTTTTTTTCTTTTTAGTTTTTTGCCATAGGGCACATGCACATACCAGAGAGAGACAGAGAGAGGAAAAGTGAGAAATCACCCCGTAGGTGGGATTGTCATGTAACAATCCCTTCTCCTCCAGCAGTCTCCTCTCAGGATTTTGGGCATGCATGCACATGTGTCCAGTGTGATTTTCAAGCTGCCGAGTATGGGACTCAAACTACAGATGGCTACATGGGAATCCAGTGCCTTAACCTCTATGCCACCTGCTGGCCAAGTATTTTATACAAAGATGTTATTAGCAGCATTACTTACAATTAAGAAAAAGAAAAACCTAAAAACTTTTTACTTTACAAAATGAGGAATTACTAAATAAAGTATATTTATTGAGTGGAATATCACACTGGTCATATAAAATAAAATTTTAAGACTTTTTTAAAAGCATGGAAACATATTTATGTTATGACATTAAGTTTAAAAAATGGGATATAGTGGGACCAGCAATTAGTGTAATGGCTATATCACTGGACTCCCATGTAGCCGACCGCGGTTTGCGTCCCGGACCCGGTGGCTTAAACTCATGCCGGGCGTGTGTGTGTGCATGCCCAAGATCCTGAGAGGAGAATGGAGGAGAAGGGATTGTGGCGTGGCCATCCCCCCGGGGGGGATGATTTCTCACTTTCTGTCTCTCTGTTTCTCTCTGCCTGTCTGGCGAGCGCACGCGCCCTATAGCAAAAACCTCTCCAAAAATAAAAGGCATGGAAACATATTTATGTTATGACGCTAAGTTAAAAAAATGGGATATAGTGGGACCAGCAATTAGAGTAATGGCTATGTCACTGGACTCCCACGTACTCGACCTCAGTTTGCGCCCTGGGCCTGGTGGCTTAAACTCATGCCAGGCCCGTGTGTGTGCGTGCCCAAGATCCTGAGAGGAGAATGGAGGAGAAGGGACTGTGGCGTGGCCATCCCCCTGGGGGGTGATTTCTCGCTTTCTATCTATCTCTCTCTTTCTGGTGTGCGCATGCATCCTATAGCAAAAACATCTCACCCCCCCAAAAAAAAAATGGGATATAGACTTTCATATGCAATCTAAGAGGTAAAACTGCACATATAATATCATTATGAATGTGTTAAAAATGGATACAGAAAAATGGAGAAAATATGCCAAAATGTTCATAGCTGCTTGTCTGTGGATGGTGCAATTATAGCTAAATTATTTCTTCTTAAAAGTTATTTTCCGAATTTCCTACAATGCGCGCATATACACACACACATAAACAAATGCACAATAGCTATCTTTAAATAGCTTCTAATTTCCTGTGCATTATGTTCAGATTCCCTATCAAGCTGTCTTGGACTTCCTGAAATACAGAGCAGACTTGGTAAAAAAGAACAAAAAAAAAAAAACACGTATTTTTTCTTAAAATGTTTAATATTTCCTGAATCCAATGAAAGCAGTCAAGGATATGAAAACTGTCTTATGCATCAAATGTTTTATGTAACTTCAGAGTGAACAGAAAGGAAAGCAAATAATTTAAACTTGCAAGTTATTTGCAAACGCACTATACATAACGATAAGATCTTCATTAAAATGGCTCAGCCCAGATTTCAAGCCCGTCATTTTGGTTCTTGCTCCTAATTCATTTTTAAGCATTATTTATAGAAGTCCAAGCTCTCCAACATCCTCTAAAATATATTTTCATTTAAATTCTATTTTGAGCTCACCCTTTGTTGAGTTGAGACAATTGGCATAATATTTCAAGCCAAGAAAAACTCCCACTAAATGTGATGGAGAAAAAAATAAGGTTTGGGGAGTTGAATATCCCCAATTTGCTTAGAACACTGAAGGTCTTAAAAAAAAAAAAAAAACTATTAGTCTCTCAAATTCTCCAGTACAGAGACCATTATAAACTGTACTCTGTATAAATCTCCTACGCCTGAAGTAATCTGACTTTAAAACTATCAAAATGAAAGTTTCTGGAAAAAACAAAAGCAAAAAACAAAACACAAAACCAAAAGGTTCTACTTGGCACCATGAGCGTGGATTGCATTTTCCAACTATGTGATAGGGAGAAATGACCTCTTCACACTTAAATCCTCCTACGATAAAAGAATAGAAAAGCATGTAACTCTGAGTTTGCAGTTTTCTGTAAATCGATTTGAACAAACCGTCCTTGTGTATTTCCTCTCGTGTTTACAAAGAACTACCTGCACAGGTAGATAGGACATGTGCCTGTTGTTTCTTACTGAACATCGGATCAGACACAAAAAGGCAGCAAATGTTTGAAATCAAGCCGCCAACTGTCTAGGAGGAACCTTGGTATAAATAGACCCCTCTGGAGTAGAGAGAGTCTTCCTGCAAAGGTTCCAGAAGAGATTTAAGTGGACATATCAACAATACGGTGTCAAGTACTGCAATAAAACCACCCTTCGGACTTAACACGTGATGCACAGGGGCCGGCAGGTGGCGCTGTGGTTAAAACGCTGGACTCCCACGCGGCCAACCATAGTTTGAGTTCTGGACCTGGCAGCTTGCTTTCTCTTTCTCTCTCTCTCTGGTCAAATTAAGTAATAGTCACAACAAATGGAATCAAATAAATAATCCTTTAAAAATGTAAAACACAGACTCTAAGGACAGGGTCAAATCCGAATGAGCTAGATTAGGGGTTAGTAAACATTTTCTTAAAAAGCTAAATATTTTCAGCTTTCTTGGCCACATGGTCCCTGTCCTCGGCTCAAATATAGCCATAGACAGATAAGACAGAAATGAATAAGCATGGCTGTTTTCCAATGAAACTTTATTTATCAAAAGAGATGGCCACTGGATTTGGCCTGTAGATTCTAATTTGCCAACCCCTGAGCTAGATTATTTACTGTTCATAAACTAAAATAGGATCAATGAATCCTTTTGAACAGGAACAGGCTCCTATAAGTTTGCCTGTTTGCTTGTTTCTTTCTTTCTTCCTTTCCTTTTTTTTTTGTTTTTTTGTTTTTTTAAGAGATTTTTGCTATAGGGTATTTGTTCTTGCTTGAGAGATACAGGGAGACATAAAGCGAGAAATCACCATCCAGGGCGGATGGCCATGCTGCAATCTCTTCTCTTTCATCCTCCTCTCAGGATTTTGGGCACGCACATACATGCACCTGACGGGAATTTCAAGCTGCCAAGTCTGGGACTCAAAGTCAACCATATAGGAGTACAACACCTTAACCACTAAGCTACCTCCTGGTCCTGGCTCTTTTAAGTTTCAAGCATTACTTCCTTACCTGCCTGGAGAGGGCAAAGGATTATAGACATTGCCATAGCAGCTGGTGTAAGAAGAATGTGCTGGAGTCTCGTATTCAGATAGCCCTATGGTTAACTGGGTCCTCCAGTTCCCAGAAGCATTTGTAGAAGACACTAGAAATAAAAATGGGAAGAGAGATCAAATTAGTAAAAATATTCAAGGTGAAAATGTTTAGGTCATCTAGAGGTGTATTATAATCAGCTGTGTACAGAACAGAGCCTTAAGAGCCAGGGTTTAGAATTAATAGAGTTCTTGGACTGGCTGTGTGACCTTCGGCAAATATTAAGTCATCAGGAAAGTTATGACATATTTTCTGTTTTTCTATGAAAAATGCATCATGACTTTTCAGAGAACCCAATAGTTATGCTTTAAAAAAAATTTTTTTTTTTAAGTTATTGCTATAGGGTGCATGTACTCACCAGAGGGCAAGGAAAACTAGAAAGGGAAAATGAGAAATTCCTTTTATCTCCCAAATCACCTCCCAGCGGGAATGGCCATAGCGTAATCCCTTTTTTAGTCTCCTCTCTGGATTTGGGGCATACACACACACACGTGCCCGGTGTGATTTTCAAGCTGGGGCTGAGACTCAGATGGCACAGTCTGCTGGTCCCACAGAGAGCTGCGCTCTTTAAGGCTCAGTTCCCTTATCTATGGAGTGGCGATGATAAAGTGACTTTACAGCCATACGCCATGTAATGCTGTCTCAGTCGACAAGCCACGTATGCAGTGCTGGTCCCATGAAGAGTGTACAGGCTGGGGAACCAGCAGTTAGCGTAATGGCTATATCGCTGGACTCCCACGTAGTTGACCGTGGTTCGCGTCCCGGACCTGGTGGCTTAAAACTCATGCCGGGCGTGTGTGCGTGCATGCCCAAGATCCCGAGAGGAGAATGGAGGAGAAGGGATTGCAGCATGACCATCCCCCCTGGGGGGTGATTTCTCGCTTTCTGTCTCTATGTCTCTCTCTGTCTGGCGAGCGCACGCGCCCTATAGCAAAAACCTCTAAAAAAAAAAAAAAAAAAAAGAGTGTACAGGCTGAATGAATTAGCCTAGCACTGCAGTAGGCTATACCATGTAGGCTTGTGTAAGGACACTCTATGATGTCTACACAACAACAGGATCACATAACATATTTCTCAGGATATATCCTTGTCTTTAAGTGATGCATGACTACATTCTGTGCAGACATGATACCAGAATTAACTAAGGTGATTAGGCAAATCCTTAGTGCTGTGCTTGATACAGAGTGAGCAAACAATACATAACCATCAACAGGATTATCAATGGCAGTAACGTGGATTGAAAGACAAATTGGTCCACTAAAAGTAATTTGTTAAATTACCCAAAGACAAGCAAGAAAAAAAATGATCTCATATTTAGAGACTGTTTCCATTCAGGGAATGGTGGCTGAATACATAAGGGTTCAGTTGCAAAGGTATGATGGATGGGTTTGGGTTTGTTGAAGGCTTTTGGAGGGAAGACATTCCATAATTACCTTGTTGATCCCCATCTCTCAGCCCAAGGTGGCATTGGCTACTAGCAAGATCAAGACATATTTTTGCCTTAAAAAAAAAAAAAAAGGTGGCGGTGATGGATGGAACTACTACAAGAAGGAATTCAGGAAGAGGATTTAGTTCTACAGAGGGACTGAACTGGAGCAGGACAAGGACATAATTTGGGAGCAAAGCCCGGAAAATGCCTCACCACTGGGCGCTGGTTGTCCTCACTCTAAACTAGTTGTGCTCCATGCCCAGGATGTTCAAGGTGATGACAACGCCTTATTGGTGACCCAAGACTGAAAAACCAGCTCTGCTCACAGACCCTTCCTGGTCTTCACTTCCTGTTCTGACTACCGACTCGCTCCTCTCGTCTCCCGCACTCACAGAGCCCTTGTGATCACCACGACGCAAACACATTTCAAAACTCACCCGTGGGCCCTGGATGCCACGAGGTTTCAATGAATAAGCATAATCATCTTACGCTGAGCTCCTCAGAAGGTTTCCTAACTGTGCGAGAGGCTCTGACTTGGTGGTGAAGACGTCAGAACTTTGGGGCCGGGGCAGAGCCATTTAAACTTCCTAAGCCAGAGTTTCCTTGGCTGCCAAGTTAGAATACTCATAAACATACCTCCTGCACTCTCCATATAGAATGACTGCATACACTACATGGGGAAGTGTGTACACAGCACCGAGTGCACCACATGGTACACAGCAAGCTGCCAACAAATGGGGGTGTCCATACTACTGAAACTGAGTCACCAGGCAAGCCTTCGGATGGCTGGAAGGGACTAGCAAAGCCCTGACTAATCTGGCAGTCATAAGTTTATCTCTCCATGAAAATGCCACATACCTATGTTAATGCACTTCTGTAGTAATACCATAGAGGCAGGGATGAGGAAAATTCCAGAAGGAAATTCTGGGAGCATTGACTCCATTCCTTTCATTCCTTAACCAGTGATGCCTTGGGGTTAGCAGGTGGCATGGTGGTTATGGCACTGGATTTCCACATGCTGAATGTACCTGAATCCCTGGACCTGGCGGCTTGACAATCATGCCAAGTGCACGTGGGTGAATGCCCAGACTCTCAAGAGGAGAATGGAGAAGGGCCTGCAGCGTGGTGAGCACACGTGTGCTATGGCAAAAATAAATAAATAAATAAACCTTAAAAAAAAAAAAAAAAAAAAAAAAAAAAGATGCCTCTTGACATCACTGTGGGGCCAAATCCTGCTGGTGTCAGCAAGGTGCAAGCCAGGCCTGAACCAGCAAACATTAACTCAATCCTCACCTTTGCCCCATGCGGAGGTCCTGAGCCACACCTGCTACCCCCTGGGTTTTACCCAGCCCTGTGACCTGGTGCATGTCCGCATGCACCTCAGCCCTCCTTGCTTGGTTTTATGTGCTCCCCCCTGGGTTTTACCCAGCCCTGTGCCCTGGTGCATGTCCACATGCACCTCAGCCCTCCTTGCTTGGTTTTATCCTTGCGGTACTCTGCCCAGGTTTTTGGTCTGTGAAATCTTCTCATGCAACGCCCCGCTCTTGAGATCAGAGCCATAAATAACAAGAAATCATTGCAGGAGCCTTTCATATGTTAGATGTAGTGAGAGACGGGACAGCCCTAGCGGAAGTCCAAAGTCCTGAACAAACAGGAGAGAACTTGAGCCCTAACAGAAATCTCCATGGAAACACCTCTTGTCAACAAACTTACGAAACTTTCTGAGGCACAGTTTTTGCTGACTGTTACTCAGTGATGCGAGAATCCCTGGACTGTGTCTCACTAAGGTGTCAGGCTTACGGGAGGAGACGTGACTCACAACTTCAGGAATTCATGCAGTTCAACAATTCATTCATTCATTCCTTAGAGTTTTAAAATGGCTTGATTTTCAGACAGTGCTCTGAGAGCCGACAAATCGGAGCTCACTGAGGCAGGAACCAGCAACACTGGTCCTCGTCTTATATGTGCTGCTCATTTGGTGAACAGACAACCCATAAGCAGACCCTTATTCTTCATACTTAAAATAGCACAGCTGGGGGTATGAGTAATTCCTCCATGAATGTTAGCAGAGTGGGGGCCAAAGCCTACAGAAACGGTAAAAAGGAAGTGTCTCCTCTAATCAAAACTGTCTTTGAAAATTCCTTAAATCCACCACAGAGTGGAGATTATATGAATATGGAACTGAGTTAAGATATGAAAAGTATTTAGAACAGTGTTTGCAAAGTTGAGCAGAGTGATTTACAGTTGCTCAACCTGGTAGCCTAGTGGTTAAGGAAGATGAACCCTACATGGCCAACTGTAGTTCAAATCCCAGCCACAGGCTTGCAAAACACAAGGGATGCATGTGTGTGCATGTGTGCGTGCACCCAAATCACACTGGAGAAATGGAGGAGAGGACTGTAGTGACCATATCCCATTAAGGGGTGCTTTCTCCCCATCCCCCATCTCTCTCCAGATGAGTGCAGTTTTCATGAGACAATTAAAATGAATGAATGAATGAATGAATGCCAGCTCTGATTAGAATTACTGAAAGTCTGAGCACCCAAAACACTGTTTAGATGATCAAATCTTAGTGGCAAACAGGGCTGGGTGTATAATTCTAATGTTTGCTGCTTACCTGAAGGGTTTACTCTGTTCCTTTTTTTTTTCTTTTTGATATAGGGTACATGTGCTCACCAGGAAGACAGAGAGACAGAAAGCAAGAAATCATCCCCTAGTGGGGATGTCCACGCCACAATCTCCTCTTGTGCCTGGTGTGAGTTTAAGCCACCGGGTCCAGGACTCGAACCACAGTCAACTACATGGGAGTCCAGCAACATAGCCATTGCACTAACTCCTCGTCCCTACTCTGTTCTTTTAAACTATCAAACCTCCCGAACACACTTAGGAGATGTGGCGGTCAACATAAGGCCCTGAAAAGACACAGCATGTGAAAGGCCCCACACAGTGCAGCATAGGAAGTAGGTGTCCGATAAACATTTCCTAGGTTCAAATCTACAACTTTCTTCATCAGACTTAGGTGTACGGTGGTCTTTGCGCTGGAGAGAGCTGGCCTTAGGTTGGCCTTTCCAGTGGTTCCACTGAATGACCACCACCACTCTCACGACCTGGGGAGCTGGTCTCACCACCCTTGAGAGCAGTGGTTTTGGGTGGGTGGAGAACATGATGTAAATTAAATCCAGGTGTCACGTGCCTCAGGGTATGCTTACCTGAAGAGTAGGAGGATGCACGACTGCTGGGCGAACAGGGTACCTGCAGCCCAGCAAACCCCAGGCATCTCTGTGATCCCCGGTCCGAGTCAAAGCTCGTCTGTGGGCTGTGCACCTGATCTTTTTGTCCAGAGGCCCGCTGGTACCAGCCACGCAAGTGCTCGGCGACTAAGGCCTTGTGGATGTTTTTGGTGATGTGCTCGGATTTTGCGGCAGCCTTTCTGGGCAGCCGCAGGGTTGCATATGGGTTATGGGGCACCCGGTCCACCTCGTCTTCGTGGAAGGATCTGCTGTAGTCCCTTTGGCGGTCATATCCATAGTGGGCTGAAGACCGGTAGGAAGGATTGACACTGTACTGTCCCTCGGTGTCATTCTCGTACACGTAGCCACCACTGTAGTAGAGCTCGCACTCTGTGTACGGCGTGTACCCGCTGATATAGTAACTGGAAGAAGGTGGCTCCTGGCTCTTGGCATAGACGCCATTCCTCACACTGTCCTTCTGTGCTAGGTTGGGCATGCTTCCTGAATTGGAAGTAGAACCATTCTGCTTCTTGGACCTTCTCCGACCCCTGGCGCGTGTGTCCAGAGTCTGGGTGGTGTAATAGGGGCTGGCCACTGGCGTCACACAGTAATACTCTGTGCTTGACTGACTGGTGTAGGAAGATCCGTCATCCAGGATTTCGGTGCTGCTGCTTCTTTGGGATTTGGAGAGGGAGAAAAATGGCTTTTCATTGTCCATCTCGGAGAGCAGGTGGGACTGGGACTCCAGGCTTCCACTCCGCTGACGGCAGTGCTGAGATGAAGATTCAGGCCTGAAGGAGAGAAAGGCACATCCATAAGAGAAAAGAAGAAACAGAGGATCCGAATAAGGAAAAAGACCACCACGCTGAGTGATTTAACAGTTCTTGATTTACAGGAAGACTTTTTATGGTTTCTAAAGCCGACTGCACCAGCAGAACCCATGAGTTCCTAGAAGCCATTGATTCATGCGTAAGTTCATTACCACACCACAGTGAGAAAAGGACCAGGGACTGCCAGTTGTGCAAGCCAAATCCTTCCTCGAGGGCCGAGGAGAGACAAACTGAGGACGCACAGCCTGCATCGAAGCCTGACTAAAACCCTACACAGGTCTGGAGGGTCCTCTCTTCCAGCCTGATTTCAGGATGTGTTGGGTGGCACTGCGCGGTGGAGCAGTTGGCCCTGAAGTGAGAGCTATCCGGGTTGAGTCACGACACTGCCACTTCCCAGCTGTATGGGCTCAGGCGAGACACCTGATCTCTCTGAATCTCGCTTTCTCTCTTGTTAAATGAGGACACAAAACAGTATCTAATATCCACCTTCCAAAAGGCTCGTTATGGAGGCTAAATAATACAGTGCATATAAAACATTTAGCACAGCGCTCCAAAAACACTTCAAAACGCTGCTATTGCTATGATCGTCATCCTCACCATTTGAATAATGAACTGTAATATCTGGCTGGGAAATTAAGGTGCTGAAAATCCAATATACATCCAGACAAATCAAGTATATATTCTCAGCCAACATATTGGAAACTGGGAGTTAGCAGAAAATGTAAAACCGTAAAATAGGACCCTGTTACAGAAAGTCAATTTAAAGGATTAAAAACTACAACGAAGGAAGACAAAGCCAAAAAGCAAAGTCAACAGAGCCACTGCAGCAGGAAGGAGGCTCTTGGCTCTTACTCCAAGTGGCTGCTGCTGTAGGCGTTCCGGGTGAGAACCGGCGTGGTGGGCATGCTTCGTCCTCCCTGAGGCCGCCTCTCCAGAGTTCTGTAAGGGCTGCTGTGTGTCGACAGCATTTCCCTGTGAGGGAGAAAGGAGAATCAGGAATTGAAGAGCCTCCCAACATCTCTGACAGATTTGTCATAAGCTAATATGAAACTTACTGGAGTGGAAGGAAAGGGAATATGGAGAAAAGGTGGGAAGGTGGGTGTGGGTTAGGATCCTGGTTCATCCTAGATGAGGGCTTTTTCTTTTTTTCTTCTTTGAGAGTTTTTTTCTTTTTTTGCTATAGGGCACGAGCACTCGCCAGAAAGACAGAGACAGACAAAAAACGAGAAATCATTCCTTGGGGGGATGGCCATGCCACTATCCCTTCTCCTCCATTCTCCTCTTGGGATCTTGGGCGCGCGCACACACACACAC